TCTGTGATCTTCATCCAATATTCCATTAAAAACTGTGATCTTCGTTTAGTTTCTAATAAAATCTATGATTTTCATTACACTTTCTATATAAAATTGTGATCTTAATAAAATTTTCTTTATAAAACTGTGATCTTAAAAAAATGTTCTATATTTGTACTTTTCTATAGAAAGCTTTGATATTTTCTAAAAATTCTAACTAAAACTGTGATCTTCATAAATTTGTTTCAAAAAAAAAAAAAAAACTGTAATCAGTAACATAAGTTTAATAAAATGAATATATGCATTTAAAACGCTGACAACTTAAGAATATATGCAATAAATATTTACAAGAATCAAAAATAAAGAAAATTTTAAAAGAAAAAAGAAAATACTCACTGTGGCATATGCGCCAAAGCCTCTGAAATATGAGCTGCTCCCTTGCTGGTCACGGTATTATCATTCAAATTCAATACCTTTAAATTTGTATTCTGTTTAAAACCTTCAGCCAAAGCAGCAATACCTTCATGATAAATAGAATTTTGTGGCATAACTATCTCTTCCAAAGTCTTAAGGGTAGAAAATATTTTTGCAATAGCCTTGGCACCCTCATTCTCCAAACGATTACGACCACCTATGAAAACTTTAAGCTTAAGAGGTGTACCGGCAGCCGAACTATTACGATGACAATCGATAATTGCTTCGGATAACATGCGACCACCATAGATACCCAAACCGCAATTGTTCATGTGTAATTCTTGTAGACTGTAGCAAACGGGGGAACGTAAAAGTTCTTCTAAGCCTACCATGCCATGAGGGCCTATGGCATTGTCACTTAAATCGAGTACTGTAAGTTTAGCTCCAGCTATAGACATGCCATTGCCTAGTAATTTTAAGGCCTCAGGTATTTCAGCCTTTAGACGGCTGGTAAACATGTTTTTCCATAAAGCTTTGCGGAATTCAGGGTGCTTTTCCAAAGCCTTACCAATGGCGGCAGCTGCCTCTACACCCAAAGTATTACCATCTAATTTAAGATAATGCACCACTTTTTGCATATCCAAGGCCCTAACCACATCCTCAACTATGAAATAAACAATAATTAGTAATAATTAAGTAAATAAATTAAAATATTTTTCGCAAACAACAAACCATCTTTGGCCGAATCCCATTTTAGCTGTTTGTCGGCAAAACTTATGCCTTCTTCAGATAATTCACTGGCTAATTTGGTAAAACTAAAATTGGCAGCCATGGTTTTTTTAATATTTTTTATAAATACTTTTTAAATTTTTTAGTAATTAAACAAAATTTCAATATTTTTCGCAATTTTATACGCGCACACACACAATAACCTCAAATTTCAGCGCCGGTTTTTTTCTTTTTTGCGTTTGTTTGTTTGCGACAGCTGTCATCAGGGCACACTTAGAAAAAAAACTAATCAAAATGTAACTATAGTTTATGAATACTTATGTATTTCTTTACAGACAACTTATTTCTACAAATTAATAGGAGCATCAGAGGACTTAAGATTCTGCGAGTTATGTAAAATGGCGAAAAGACTGTTAATTTATGTATATGATTAATATATTAATAAAATTAACAATATATATATATATATATATATATATATATATATATATATATATATATATATTAAAATATCAATAAATTGTGTTTTATTATAAATTGGTATAGCCGTCAGATTTAACGGATATATTCATCAAGTGCGATTAGTCAACAATGACCGATTATTGCATCATTTTTTTATTTGTTAACTGTGATGGATATATCCATCAAGCATGATTAGTCAATCATGACTAATATTTATATCATCCATGATTAGTAAACAACAAAAGAGTGAGCAGCTCAAATATATGTTTTAAAGTCGATAGAATTCATAAGTGCGAGGGTGATGCAACATCACATGTACACAAATGTTTCCATCACTTTTTACATATTGCCCTTAAGAAAGTGATGGGAGCTTTGTGTACATGTGATGTTGCATCACCCTCGCACTTATGAATTCTATCGACTTTAAAACATATATTTGAGCTGCTCACTCTTTTGTTGTTTACTAATCATGGATGATATAAATATTAGTCATGATTTGTTAACTGTGATGGATATATCCATCACAGTTAACAAATAAAAAAATGATGCAATAATCGGTCATTGTTGACTAATCACACTTGATGAATATATCCGTCAAATCTGACGGCTATACCAATTTATAATAAAACACAATTTATTGATATTTTAATATATATATTGTTAATTTTATTAATATAGTAATCATATACATAAATTACCAGTCTTTTCACCATTTTACATATCTCGCAGAATCTTAAGTCCTCTGATGCTCCTATTAATTTGTGGAAATAAGTTGTCTGTAAAGAAATACATAAGTATTCATAAATATCGAAATATAAAAATCATAAGTACATATTTATGTTACCATTGATTGATTAAACTCCGAATTGTTTATCTTCTGATCCACTTCCTGAACTTTTTTAAAATTTAGTTTATAATAATTCTCTTTATTTTTAATAATTTAAAGACTTTGTAATTTTTTTATTTTTTCGCTTCTTGATCTTTGGCTTTCGCAGAAACAATTAATTTGTAACGACGAAAAATACAACTCTGTAACACAGTGACAGTCATTTGATCGGTCATTTGGCTGTCATTGTTGATCAAAATATAAATTTTAATACATTTTAATCAAAATGTATTTGTTTCATTCTTTCATATGCAAATTCAACCCTATACCACACATTGGGTCCAGTAACGGTCATTTTACCGGTCATTTGACTGTCATTGTTGATGGAATCATCCATTAAATTTTTTTTCGACAACTCTATAAAAAAAATGTTGCGTGTGTGTTAGTAAAATCATTTTGTATGTGTTAGTTTCGGTCATTCATTTCTTATAGGGTAGGGTACCTTCACAAAGTATACAGAGGTGTCACTTTTGACATTTCAAAAAGTCTAAAATCAGCTTTTGTTTGATTTTGAAATTGTTTGGTGAGAAATGGTATATAGAACACGACTAAAAAAATAGTTTTTTTGCTCGTGACACCTCTGTATACTTTGTGCTACAGGATTTTTTTAGACCATTAACTTAAAAATTAACTTTGTTATTTAAAAAGTGGATGTCTACTTTTACCCACATTTTGAAAAATTATAAAAAAATACTACACAGACAAAAGTTTCAGCATAAATATTATGAACTGCTTTCATTGACTAAAGTTAATAATATTTAAGAATAAGTTCCTAAATTGTATGAATTTTTTCATTTTTATATTTTTAAACATAATCTAGAAGCCTTGACTTAAAATATTAGTTGTGTTTTGTTGATAACGTTCAAAGGCAATTTCATATAAATTTAAAATTTATAAACGTTAGGAGTTAACGTGTAAAATTATACAAGTTAATTTTAACGTCAATAAAAGTGCTACCAATTCAAAAATAAAAATACAAATATTAATGTGCTTATGTCAAACAATAAAAAAATATTTTAAAATAAAATTTAAATCAAAAAAAAAAATATCAAATAAAAAAACCTTTTTTAAGAAAATGTAAATAATTTCAAGATTTAGCAGATTTCTTCTGTGGAGTGATGCCAAGTCAGGTAATGTTCGTTTTGTTGCTAACTTTAAGCGTTAACACTCATTGATAGCAACAAAACACAACTATTAAAAATTTTCTTTATATTTTTCTGTTTGTTAAAAAATGTTTGAAATTTTCTTTAGAAAATTTTTTATTTCTTTATGATTTTTAGATTGAAAACAATGAAATATGCGCGTAACATGCAGCATTTTCTGAAGAATGGATGTTTAGCTATATGCTGGTTTTTTTATTTCATATTTTGTTTTCCAGCATTTTTATTTATTTATCATAAAAATACGCTAATATGTGATTATTTTCTAAAAAATGGAAGATATTAATAGGTAACGGTTATTTATTTATTGCATTTTTGATGAAAATCAAAGAAAATGAACAAAAAAACAAAAAAATATTTCATGTACAAATTCATACATTTTATGAACTTTTAATATTCTGAATGAAAATGGTTTGGGAAAAAAAAGTCATGTTCGATTCATTCAATTTATTTCAAAATTCATTCCAAATATGAATTATTTTTTTCTGTGTAGAACAAGTATTTCTTTTGAATCTCTTTATATATTCAATAACTAAAAGTTTTTACTAATTTTTACAAAAATATTTGAAATACAAAAACAATTTCTGATAATTTGTAGTTAATGAACAGACATTCTATTTTCTAACAAAATTTCTTAATTTAAAGTTTAATTTTTAAACTTTTAAATAGTAAATCCCAAATTGATTGCAATAAAATTAATTAGCGGGATTGAAATCTAAGTCGGGATCAACCTTTAAAAAGCGGGATAATCCCGCAATTGGGGGGTGTCTGGTCACGTTAATTATGGACCAAGATCTCCATAATTTAAAGTATTTTTTTAATTATACCATAATTCTATCATAATGCTAAACTTTTGGAATGCCTGATTAACTATAATTTGATTTTCTGTAAGAGGATTATATTGGCGGACCGATCCACATAATTTTAGGTTTCATAAATATAGATTTCGGTTCCTAAAAAGTTTTTTTTCGTCGAATTCCATTATTACATCTACATTTGAAAGCGTAAAAAACGTTAAAATCAAATAAAAAAAAGCAGAAAACAGTTTGGCGCGAAAAATTCCAGCAGAATTTGTTTTCGCAGTCGGCAGAATTGACATCAACTGCACTTTCCATTTAAAATACACATGTTCGATATCCTTTTACGGTATGACATACCAGCAATGTAAAAAGGTGCAGCTTGGTTGACGTCAACGACGCTGGTTTGAAGTAAAAGCAGCGACCCGAATTAGGCGCGTAAAAAAAGCGACAGCTGTCATACACCGGCATTTTTTGTTAACATTCAGTGTGAATGCTAAACAAATCAACCGCTGTCTTGTTTTGTTTATTTATGTCATTACAGTAACCGCTGTATTGTTGTTTTTCTTCTTTACAACACAATTATTTGACAATTCAATTCATAGAAAAAATTCCCCCACAAACAAAAAAATTGTGTATTTTTCTCACGTCTTTTTTGTTATTTTAACCAAAAATTCCAACATATATCAATAAAATAATTACCAAATCTTTAAGCCCCAATATATATGTAAACAAGGAAATTGTCTAGCCGTGGTTTAATTAAAAAAACATGTGTAAACTCCAACATAAAAGACAAGCCAAATTTATAAAACTATTGTAGAAATAAACAAAAACAAAATAAATAAATATTAAAAATTCACAAAAGAAAAAAAACCATAGAAATTCCAACGAAATTCTTGTCAGTTTTAGCCATAAATGACTCAATGCACAACAGAATTGGTCGTAAGATGTTGTTGACCAAGAAACACTGGATCTTCCTAATGGGTGTTTTATGTCTAATGGTCTGTATAGGCTATTGGTTTATAGGGTCCGAAGTTAAACTAAATGGTATGTAATATTCCTATAGCTTAATAAGCTAAAAACTAAATCTTAAGAAATTTTCTTGCAGCTCTTAAACCTTTAAGCAAATATAATAATAATCAATCTCCAGCTAATGCAGGTGCTGCTACTGCTGTCGATGCTCTATCGCCTTTAGATAATTTCGATTATGAGGAACAACTAGTGGTGCTGTATAATCGTGTGCCCAAAACGGGCTCTACAAGTTTTGTAAATATTGCTTATGATTTGTGTAAGAAAAATCGTTTTCATGTTTTGCATATCAATATTACGGCCAATAATCATGTTTTATCTTTACCTAATCAGGTATGTGGAAGATAGTGTTAAATGTGTATTAGTTGTTGATATATGTAATTATTTTATTCATTTAACACTAGGTCTCTTTTGTACGTAATGTCACCAAGTGGCATGAAATGAAACCGGCCCTTTATCATGGTCATTTGGCCTATTTGGATTTTTCAAAGTAAGTAGAAAATGACGATAGTGTTCCATAGAAAATTTTATGAAATTTGTTAAAAATCAAAGTTGTTTATAGAAATTTAGAGCAGACTTAAAGATAATCATATTGTTTTTATAGAAAATTGTTAGCGATCACAGTATTCTAAAGGAAATTTGATAACGATCATAGTTTTCTATAGAAGATGTTTGTTTTCTATAGAAACTTTAAGTATTCTGTAGAAAATTTGATAATCACTATTTTCTTTAAAAAAATTTAATGAAAATTACAGTTTTAGGAAAAAAATTTGATGAAGATCGCATTTTTTGTTTAGAAAATTTGAAGTTCAGAATATTGTAAAGAAAATATGAGTACAATGTAGAAAATTTGATGAAGATCAAAGTTTTATATAGAAAATTTTATAAAGATCTGTTTTCTATAAAAACTTTCTATAAAAAATTACAGTTTTCTATAGAAAATTTGATGAAAATCACAGTTTTCTATAGAAATTTTGATGAAGATAACATTTTTCTTTAGAAAATTTGATGAAGATCGCAGTTATTTGAAGATCTATGTTTTCTATAGAAAATTTTACAAAGTTTATAGTTTTCTATTGAAAATTTGAGAACGATCTCTGGTTTATAAAGAAATTTTGATGAAGATTGCAGTTATTTAGAATAATGTTTATAACGATTACTGTTTTATATAGAAAATTTGATGAAGATTACAGTTTCCTTTTGAAAATTTTATGAAGATCGCTGTTATTTAACGATCACTGTTTTCTATTTAAGACTTAAGAACGATCACAGTTTTCTTTATAAAATTTTAAAACGATCTCTTGTTTCTGTATAAATTTTCTTGCGGCTTTCCGTTTCCTTTAGAAGATTAGATGAAAAACCCTTGTTCCTTGAGAAAATTTTATGAAGATGACAGTTGTTGGAAGATCACAGTTTTCTATAGAATATTTTATAAAGATTTAAGAGTTTTCTTTAGAAAATCTGAGAATAATCTGTGTTTTCTATAGAAATTTTAATGAAAATTGCAGTTTACTTTAGAAAAATTGATGAAAATTCCTGTTTTCTTTTAAAAATTAAACAATTTTTACAATAAATTACAAAAATTCTTATTCTTTATCTTTTTAAACTTTTCATTTCCAGATTCCAAATTGCCCATAAACCAATTTATATTAATATAGTGCGTAAGCCATTGGATAGACTTGTTTCCTATTATTATTTTTTACGTTACGGTGATAATTATCGTCCAAATTTAGTACGCAAAAAGGCGGGTAATAAAATTGTAAGTTTTTTCGTATTATATAGTTGTTTTTAAATTTTTACTCAAATTTTCTTATAATTTAAAGACATTCGATGAATGTGTAGAATTGCAACAACCAGACTGTGATCCCAAAAATATGTGGCTACAAATACCTTTCTTTTGTGGTCATGCCGCTGAATGTTGGGAACCCGGCAGTCAATGGGCTTTAGATAGAGCTAAAGAGAATTTAGTTAATGAATATTTCCTAGTGGGTGTAACAGAACAAATGGAAGATTTTGTAGATTTATTGGAAAAGTCATTGCCACGGTGAGTAAGAAAATGTTTCCCAGTTAATCAGTTTTTATTTGACTTTTTTCATATTAGCATGTTTCAAGGTTTTACGGAATACTATCGTCATTCCAATAAATCCCATTTGAGACATACAACTTTCAAAATTCTACCCAGAGAAGAAACTGTAGCCACTATAATGCAATCAAAAGTATGGCAAATGGAAACTGAATTGTATAATTTTGCTTTGGCACAATTTGAATTTAATAAACGTAAACTAGTGCAGCCGGATAAGAAACAAATACAAAAGTTTATGTATGAAAAAATTAAACCAAAATAAGCTAAAGTTTGGCAGCTAAAGAAAAAGACACATACAGACTTGTAAATAGTATTGTTTTCCTAAGTAATGTACTTAATTTATGTTTAAAATTGTTCATTTCACAATTGTTTTAAACAAAAACCCTCCTGCGCCCCCCCCTTCCCCTCCACACTTTCTCAAACACACTCAATTGCCTTATTTTGTTAAAAGAAGTTAAACATATTAAGAAGAAGGAAACAACATAAATGATATTTTTTATTAATTAAATTATTATTATTATTATTATGATAACGTTTAGTAGAAGCAATATTTAAAAAAAAAAAAACTTACAAAACATTGAAATAAAATTGTATTATATTAAACAACAACAACAATAACTTTAACCGTAGTAAAATTTAGCATATCATATTATGTATTAATTTATAAATTTAACATAAAACCAACAAAAATTCCTTAACCTTTTTTTTTAATATTTTTACAAAATCTATTGTTTTTATGTATTAATTTCAAATTTTTTCTTTTAAATAACATAATCTTAATTTAGTTTTAAATTTTAAACTAACAAGGTAAACGAAAATAAAAAAAATAAAAAACTTAAACAATTAACATTTTATACCTATGGACAATACTAAAGATGAGAATATAAAACAAAAATATATTAACTATACAAAACAAAAACTCCCCATAAATATTTTAGTTAATTATAACAAAGAATTTATAAAAAAAAGTAACGAAAAACACATACAACTAGAAAAAATTTAAAATATTTAACAAATACAAAATAAATTTATGTAATAAATTGTATTAATATCATATGTATAACCCTTAAAAAAGAGGAAATCATTTAAAATGAATAAACAGAATTAATTCTAATTGAAAAAAAAATTGGATTAAAAAACTAAAGAAAAAGAGTTTTATTTCAATGAAGATCACTGTTTTTTATAGAAAATTTGATGAAGATCGCAGTTTTCTATGAAATATTTTATGAAGATCGCAGTTTTTTGAAGATCTCTGTTTTCTGCAGCAAATTAGATTAAGATCACATCTATTTTTAAAATATTTGACGAAGATCACAGTATTCTATAGGAAATATGTTAAAGATCACAAGGTTTTTAAAAGATCACTGTATTCTAGAGAAAACTTTATAAAGATCACTGTATTCTAGAGAAAATTTTATAAAGATCACAGTTTTCTTTAGATTATTGGATGGATATTAGATGAAGATCAAAGCTATTTTTAGAAAATTTTAAGAAGATCACAAGTTTCTTTAGAAAATTTTATAAAGATCGCCTTTTTTTTGGTGATCACTATGTTCTAGAGAAAATTAGATGAAGATCGCAGTTTTCTATAGAAAATTTGATAAAGATAACAGTTTTCTATAGAAGAGTTGTATTTGTAGCAACTTTTCAATGAAGATCACTGTATTTTTATAGAAAATTTCATGAAGATCGCAGTTTTCTATGAAAAATTTTATGAAGATCGCAGTTTTTTGAATATCCCTATTTGCTGCAGACAATTAGATTAAGATCACAGCTATTTTTAGAAAATTTAACGAAGATCACAGTTTTCTATAGGAAATTTGATAAAGATTACAAGTTTTTTAAAAGATCACTTTATTCTAGAGAAAATTTTATAAAGATCACAGTTTTCTATAGAATGTTTGATAGATATTAGATGAAGATCAAAGCTATTTTTAGAAAATTTTAAGAAGATCACAAGTTTCTTTAGAAAATTTTATAAAGATCGCAGTTTTTTAACGAAGATCACAGTTTTCTATAGAATTTTTGATGAAGATCGCTATTTTCTATAGTAAAATGGTTGGAGATCACAGTTTCCTAATCAAGCATGATGAAAATTACAGATTTCTGTAGAAAATTTTATGTTTCCTATAGAAAATTCAATGAAAATCAGATTTTTTTAGAAAATTTTATGGAAATCACAGTTTTCTAAAGAAAATTTTATAAAGATCAATGTTTTCTATAGAAAATTCTGTAAAGATCACTACTTTTTTATAGAACTTTGATGAAGATCACAGTTTTCTCAGGAAGAATTGATGAAAATTTAATAAAGATCACAGTTTTTGGAAGATCAAAGTTCTCTATATGAAATTTGATGAAGATCACAATTTTTTTAAGAAACTTTTATAAAGATCTATAGAAAATTCTGCGAAGATCCCTACTTTTTTATAGAACTTTGATGAAAATCACAGTTTTCTTATGAAGAATTGTTTAAAATTTAATGAAGATCACAGTTTTTGGAAGATCAAAGTGTTCTAAAGGAAATTTGATGAAGATCACACTTTATTAATGAAAATTTTATAAAGATCACTGTTTTTTTTTATAGAACTTTGATGAAAATCACAGTTTTCTTATGAAGAATTGATGAAAATTTAGTGAAGATTATAATTTTTGGAAGATGGCTGCTTTTTCCATAGAAATTTTATATAACAACCAAAGTTTTCTATAGAAAATTTTATGAAGATCACACTTTTTTAAAGATCACTTTTTTCTATAGAAAATTTAAGAACGATCACAGTTATCAGTACAAATTAAAATAACGATCACATGCTTCTAAAGAAAATTTGATAAAGATCCTAGTTTTGTAATAAAAACTTGAAAACGATCACTGCCTTCAGTGGATATTTTGAAAAAGATCAATGTTTTCAAAACAAACTAAATCACAAATCACATTCTTTTAAAAATTATTTATAAAATATTCGCCATAACAACCCTTAGACAAAACAAAACTGCCCTTTGAATTGTTGTTTATGCCTAACACAAAATCACATAAATTAATTAAATTTAAATAACAAATATAATTATTAAATGTCATGTTTTAAAAAAATATTCTTGTATTTATTGCATTTACTTAAACAAATGGCAGTTTTAGTCAAAAGATCAAGACGAAAACAACGGCAACGTACAATGTGTTCAAGAAAATGTCTAAAATGGAAATTAAAATGTATACGACGAAAAATCAAGTGCATATTGATACTGCTGGGCTTTAGAAGACTGAGAAGAGATAGAATCTTTCAGCCGCAAAGAACGTATTAAAGAATAAATGGAAATTATGAAAAGAGATGATTTATTAATAAAAAAATGTTAAATATAAAAGAATTCAAATAAAAAATCAAGTATTTTGTTTTATTCCATAAAATGTTTAACTAAATTTGTAACGATCACAGTTTTCTATACAAAATTTGTTGCAGATCGAAAAGTTTGCTTTATTAAAGATCAAATTTGATTCAGATCAACTTTTTTCTATAATAGATTAAAAAATTTAAAACGATCACAACTCTCAGCGTACATTTTATTGATCCTAGTTTCTATAGAAAATTAGTTAACGATCAATGTTTTGGACAGAATTTTAAACAACGATCACAGTTTCCTAAAGAAAATAACATAATGATCACAATTTTCTATAAAAAAAATGTTACCAATCATAGTTCTCAAACAAAATATTAATAACAGTCATAGTTTTTTTCAAAATATTTAAATAACGATCACTGTTTTTAGTCTAGGCTATAGTCTAGTCTATAGTCTAGTCTATAGTCTTGTCTATAGTCTAGTCTATAGTCTAGTCTATAGTCTTGTCTATAGTCTAGTCTAGTCTATAGTCCAGTCTATAGTCTAGTCTATAGTCTAGTCAATAGCGAAGTCTATAGTGTAGTCTATAGTTTAGTTTGTAGTTTAGTCTATGGTGTAGTCTGTAGTTTAGTCTATAGTCTAGTCTATAGTCTAGTCTATAGTCCAGTCTAGGGATGCCAATCGGGACTGGTTTTTAGAAATCCCGGGATTCGGGATTTTTAAATAAATCCCGGAATCCCGATATCGGGATCCCGGGATTTTCGGGATTTCTAAATCCCGAAAAATATAAAAAAAATTCAAAAAATCTTAATAATTTACCGACAAAAATAAAATGTTTTATTTCATATTGCAATATGAATACTCTTAGTAGGTGTTTACTTTCCAATAAGCATTTTGTGAAAAGAAAAACAAATTAATTCAAAGTACATACTTAGAATAAAAATCTTTCCATCCCAGGCACTGAATAGTAGAATAAAAACCTGAAATAATACCCATGATATCCAAATTTACAATGGTTTCCAAATAATATTTAAATAGTATGTGTAATGGGGATCCATACGAGGCTACATAGAGCACCTGTACTGCACCTATATCTCCTCCACCTTATATCCCGTGTTCACTAACCAAGGGAATTATCTTCTCGCCATCTTATTGACAGGTTGACTTCCATTATAGATATCCGATAGTATCAATGCCTATTTATTGCCCTTTTTATACCCTTAGTAGGGATGGTATATTGGGTTTCTCCGGAGTAGTGCTTTTGTTTTATACTGTCCTAAAATACGCTGATGAAATTTGAAATGATCGGGCTTTTGATCCGAGCCCCCATACAAAACACAGCTTTAAAAAAGAATTAGTGTCCACAATTCGCTTAAAAAGAGAACTGTCGCAATGAAATTCAGCATAAAACATTTTATGTAACCGTAAATTCGCCCTCCAAATTTTATGAGGATCGACTCATATGATGGCGTCCTTCCCCCAAGCATATTTCAGAAAAATAGTTTTTTAACAATAAAGTGCTAGGATATATCGGAGGCGAGGTATACTTTTATTATGAAAACAAAATTACATTTTACTCTCATAACTGGTGAATGGGGTTATATGGTCGGCCTCGCCCGCCTATAATTTCGTACTTGTTATTTTTATATATCCGATAGTATCTATGCCTATTTAGTATAGCAATGAAATTTGATATTCGTAAATCCCTGACGAGCCAAAACCTCTCTACCAAATTTTATGTGGGTCGGTTCATATTTGACCCTACCCCCATATAAGGTCCCGTTAAAAAAATGACTTTAACGCTCATTACTGGCTTAAAAATACGAGTATAGCGATGAAATTCGATACACATATGTTTCATGCGAGCCAAAATCTCTCTACCAAGTTTTATGTGTTTCGGTTCATAATTGACCCTACCCCTACATAAGGTCCCATCCAGATAAATACTTTAACGCTCATTACTGGCTTACAAGTACGAGTGTAGAGATGAAATTTGAGATAAGTAAGTTTCTTACTCGCCAAAAGCTAAGAAACTTTTATAGGAACGTAAATCTTCCTACCGGAAAGTGTATGAACCAAAATTGGTCTAAAAAAATTATGAAAAATTTTATAAAAACGGTCAATGATTCACCCTACCTCTCATATAAGGTCCTATCAGTAAATTTGATGAGTAATATCACCCTGATGTTTATAGAAAAGCATATTCGGCATAGCCGAATATAGCACTCTTACTTTTTTTTGATATTTCAGCTTGTAAGTTAGTAGAGTCATCTTAAGTCCAAAAACTTTTTAAATTCTCTTATTTAGTACTTTATAATGTATAAAATAGCGGAAAAATACTTAAAAATTCGGGATTTTAAAATCCCGAAATTTCCCGGGATTTCATTTTTTAAAATCCCGGTTTTCGGTACTTTCAAATCCCGAAAATCCCGGGATTTTCGGGAATCGGGAATTCCCGTTTGGCATCCCTAGTCCAGTCTATAGTCTAGTCTATTAGTCTAGTTTATAGTCTAGTTTATAACCTAGTCTATAGTCCAGTCTATAGTCCAGTCTATAGTCTAGTCTTTGGTCTAGTCTGTAGTTTATTCAAGAGTGTAGTCTATAGGCTAGTCTAGAGTCTGTTCTATAGTCTAGTCTGAAGTTTAGTCCATAGTCTAGTGTATTGTCTACTCTATAGTCTAGTCTTTGGTCTAGTCTGTAGTTTAGTCAATAGTGTAGTCTAGAGTCTGTTCTATAGTCTAGTCTGTAGTTTAGTCTATAGTCTAATGTATTGTCTAGTCTATAGTCTAGTATATATTGTAGTATATAGTCTGGTCTATAGTCTTGTCTATAGTCTATTCTATAGTCTAGTCTATAGTCTAGTCTATAGTCTAGTCTATAGTCTAGTCTATAGTCTAGTCTATAGTCTAGTCTATAGTCTAGTCTATAGTCTAGTCTATAGTCTAGTCTATAGTCTAGTCTATAGTCTAGTCTATAGTCTAGTCTATAGTCTAGTCTATAGTCTAGTCTATAATCTAGTCTATAGTCTAGTCTATAGTCCAGTCTATAGTCCAGTCTATAGTCCAGTCTATAGTCCAGCCTATAGTCCAGTCTATAGTCCAGTCTATAGTCTATTCTTTGGTCTAATCTGTAGTTTATTCAATACTGTAGTCTAGAGTCTGTTCTATAGTCTAGTCTGAAGTTTAGTCCATAGTCTAGTGTATTGTCTACTCTATAGTCTAGTCTATAGTCTTTGGTCTAGTCTGTAGGTTAGTCAATAGTGTAGTCTATAGTCTAGAGTCTGTTTTATAGTCTAGTCTGTAGTTTAGTCTATAGTCTAATGTATTGTCTACTGTATGGTCTAGTATATAGTGTAGTATATAGTCTGGTCTATAGTCTTGGCTATAGTCTATTCTATAGTATAGTCTATAGTCTACTCTTTTGTCTAGTCTGTAGTCTTGTCTATAGTCTAGTTTATTGTCTAGTCTATAGTCTAGTCTAGTCTATAGTCTAGTCTATAGTCCAGTCTATAGTCCAGTCTATAGTCCAGTCTATAGTCCAGTCTATAGTCCAACCTATAGTCCAGTCTATAGTCTAGTCTTTGGTCTAATCTGTAGTTTATTCAATACTGTAGTCTAGAGTCTGTTCTATAGTCTAGTCTGAAGTTTAGTTCATAGTCTAGTGTATTGTCTACTCTATAGTCTAGTCTATAGTCTTTGGTCTAGTCTGTAGGTTAGTCAATAGTGTAGTCTATAGTCTAGAGTCTGTTCTATAGTTTAGTCTATAGTTTAGTCTATAGTCTAATGTATTGTCTACTCTATGGTCTAGTATATAGTGTAGTATATAGTCTGGTCTATAGTCTTGACTATAGTCTATTCTATAGTCTAGTCTATAGTCTACTCTTTTGTCTAGTCTATAGTCTTGTCTATAGTCTAGTTTATTGTCTAGTCTATAGTCTAGTTCATAGTCTTGTCTATAGCCTAGTCTATTTTCTGGTCTATAGTCTTGACTATAATCTATTCTATAGTCTTGTCCATAATATAGTCCATAATATCGTAAATAGTATATTCTATAGTCTAGTCTATATTCTAATCTATAGCCTAGTCTAGAGTCAAGTCATTAGTCCAATTTTTAATATCGTTCGTTATAAGATTAAGTGAGTACATGTTTCACGTGGTCAATATTTGAATAACTTCACCCCCAATGTAACCTTTTCATTGTGTGTAAATGTGTATTATTTGTTCTCTAAAGAAAATATGAATTTTAATAAGGACAGTAAGGGCTCACTATAACGAATAGAAAAATAATAAAAATTGGATGTAAATATTAAGTTAATCTTTTGTTTAGCTATGTCATATGTAGCTGATATTGTAAGTTATTTAAGAGTGCAGGAAAATTGTGACTATTAAATGTTAACACGAAATTGTGAATTCTAAAAGAATATTGCTTTTTTTGTGTACAGTACTGTATTATACTTACATACATTTTTTGCATATATTATAGGAATATTGTATGTATAGTGCATTTGATTCGAAGCTCTTAATAAATTTGACTAAAGAACGAATGAAGGTGTTAGTTTATTAAAAGTTTTACAACAAGACAAATTATTAAAAAAAAATATATAAATAAATCAACTAATTTTTATAAAGAAAATATATTTTTAAACTGATATCTTAATAACTTTTAAAACCATCTAAAAACGTCCTGAAAAAGTAAAGAAAAATGTCTTCGGAATTAGTTTTAAAATTGGAGTTAGAAGAACCTAGCCTAAAGGCACAACAAAAGGCTTTACAGGAACTAAGAGAAACCCCGGAAAATATACGCAAAGGCTTAAAAGAATTTAAAGAATTATTGGAAGGTTCGAAATAAAGATAAAGTTTTGAAATTAAATTTAAAATTTTTAAAAAATATATTAAATATAATTTTTAGGCTTAACCGATTTAAATATACCCAAGACGGATGAAAAGTGGCTGTTAACATTTTTAAGAGCTTGTAAATTTTATCCAGAAAGTGCCAGAGATCTGGTAAGTTTTTCAAAAAAAAAAAAATATGTTTAATAAATAATTTTCTAAATTAATTTTCTCTAGGTAAGACGTTATTTTAATATACGCCAAAAATATTCTGAAATTACAAATCTCTTAACACCGCTGAAAGTGAAACAAGTATTTGACGCCAATATAGTAAGCCTACTACCGCAACGTGATCAGGAAGGTAGACGTATTATAGCAACACACGCTGCTGGCGGTTAGTATTTAAAAAGCAATTGTGTAAACTATTGATAAACCAACCCCACCCCCAAACTTTTACAGATCGCTGGAATCCGAAACTTATATCCTTGGATGTCATCTATGCCGCCAGTACTTTATGCACAGAACTCATACAACTTGAACCGGAAACTCAAATAAATGGTGTTGTCTATATAGCAGATATGAAGGGTTTAGGCATAAGTCAAGCTTTACAATATACACCCAGTAGAGCACTGCGTACTCTTAACTATATACAAAATAATATACCCTTAAGAGTTAAGGCAATACATTTTGTTAATGCGCCAAAAATCTTTGAACCCATATTTGGCGGTGTTAAAATATTCTTTAACGAAAAATTTGCCAAACGTATACTAATACATAGTAAAGGTTTTGATTCTCTACATCGTTATATATCACCCGAATATTTGCCGGAATGTTATGGCGGTACCTTAAAAATGGATTTGTTATATGGTCCCGAAACATATAAGCTGCTGTTACCATATCAGGAATATTTTGAAAATTTTGATAAATATGGTTTTAAAAAGTACTAAATTTTGACATTTTGACCGTGTCAAAAGTGTAATAAATTTCATTTTATTTTGGTAAATAGTGATCAAACTGAGTTTCTTAATTTTCATTGTTTCCGAAATTTTTAACTTCATTTTATGTCTGGGTCCTTATTATATTATAAAGCTAATAATTTACTACAAGGTCAATTACGGCATTCTGACAGGTAATCCTTCTCTGGGAACCCATATTATTACCTCTGAGGTCCATGGACGAGGATAGACTATAGACTAGACTATAGCCTAGACTAGACTAGACTATAGCCTAGACTATAGACTAGACTATAGACTAGACTATAGACTAGACTATAGACTAGACGATAGACTAGACTATAGACTAGACTATAGACTAGACTATAGACTAGACTATAGACTAGACTATAGACTAGACTATAGACTAGACTATAGACTAGACTATAGACTAGACTATAGACTAGACTATAGACTAGACTATAGACTAGACTATAGACTAGACTATAGACTAGACTATAGACTAGACTATAGACTAGACTATAGACTAGACTAGACTAGACTATAGACTAGACTATAGACTCTATAGACTAGACTATAGACTAGACTATAGACTAGACTATAGACTAGACTATAGACTAGACTATAGACTAGACTATAGACTAGACTATAGACTAGACTATAGACTAGACTATAGACTAGACTATAGACTAGACTATAGACTAAACTATAGACTAGACTATAGACTAAACTATAGACTAGAATGCAGACTATAGACTAGAATGCAGACTAGACTATAGACTAGACTATTGGTATAAAACAATAACAAAATAAGATGGAAACAGCTGTTTCACTTTTTATATGTGTTTACATAAAAATACATCCCTGATCTAATGCGACTTGCTTGTTTTTTAAATCATTTTAAAAAATGAAGATAGCTATACGACTGTCAAATTTTCCATCCGTATTTTCTCTCAATGTGTCACAAAATTTTGACAGATCATATTACTTGTGTGCTCGTGTGAAGGGGGCTTAAATAATACTTATACAATTAATATAGAAATATAGTATAGATAGGTATTTACCCCCAGAAAATATACGCAAGGGTTTAAAAGAATTTAAAAAATTATGCGGAAACCTATAACCTGATGTCTTCCCATCAGGAATATTTAGAAAATATACAAAATATGGTTTTAAAAATGATCTGGGTAAACAATTTTATTAAAAACAAGAGGCGCCTTCATCAAAGTATAAAATTAATATAATGTTAAGTAACTTCTTGGGTCATTGTAATTTAAATGACCTCGTACTAAATATACAAAAGTTTTCCGATTATTTAATTTACATAAATTCTACAAATTACTATAATATTTTTTTAATAAACTTTAGTATTTTAATTACATACCTAATTAATGAATAATTTACTTTAATATTAAGAAATCATGTCATGACTATAGGTAAAATAAGAAATTTTTACTAAATCGGCGTTCACATTAAACAAATCCAATTCAAAATCTTTAAATTAATCTTAAATATCTAAAATGTAAACCCTAAATTATAATTCTCTTCAAGACGATCACTAATTTTAAACTAATATATATGTACATACCTCAGGCCGCAATTCTTTTTTAAATAAAATTTTGCTTTAAATTAAATATAATTTTAGTTTATTAACACAATTTCAACAAGTCACACTATTTTTTTAATAAATTCATATTTATTGGAAAATTTATACTAAAGAAAATATTCCATAAACATGTCCCCGAAATAAAATGTGGTGATTTAATATTAAAACTAGACTTGGGTCAACCCAGTGCCAAAGCCCAGGAAAAAGCTTTACAGGAACTAAGAGAAACACCCGAAAATATAGAAAATGGCTTAAAACAATTGCAAATATTATTAGAAGGTCTGTAAAAAAAGTGAGCAATTGATTAAAAAAATTAACATAAAAAAATATTTAATATAAATTCCAGCCGAAACTGATTTATATATACCCCAAACGAATGTCGAGTGGTTGATGAAGTTTTTGAGAGCCTGTAAATTTTATCCGGAAAGTGCTAGAGATTTGGTAAGATATAGAAATTGAAAGTAAAGCAGTGTTTAATTTTACATTATATAACGAGAATCGTTGCAAATTTAAAATTTTTATTCAAAAAAAACAGATTCCGTATTCTCATTTCTCGATAGAATAGTTTTAGATAAACAACAGCTTTCAAAATTCGTTTTAAAATTATGAATTTTGTCGACCTACCTTTAATACAGAGGAAGATGCATCGAAAAAAACATATTGTATTGTGTTCAACATTGTGCTGAAAACACTATAAGTCCTAAACAGAAGATGAAGATGACTATTACTAGTTTAAAAAAATTCAAGTAAACTTACTTAGGTTAGGTTAGGTTGATAGCAGGAGGTATACTACATCAAATCCGAAGAAATACACCTAGGCCACTATCGGGCCTGTTTGTGCGCTCCTTACTTACTTACTTACTTACTTACTTACTTACTTACTTACTTACTTACTTACTTACTTACTTACTTACTTACTTACGTACTTACTTACTTACTTACTTACTTACTTACTTACTTACTTACTTACTTACTTACTTACTTACTTACTTACTTACCTTACTTACTTACTTACTTACTTACTTACTTACTTACTTACTTACTTACTTACTTACTTACTTACTGTACTTACTTACTTACTTACTGACTTACTTACTTACTATTACTTACTTACTTACTTACTTACTTACTTACTTACTTACTTACTTACTTACTTACTTACTTACGTACTTACTTACTTACTTACTGACTTACTTACTTACTTACTTACTTACTTACTTACTTACTTAATTCTTACTTACTTACTTACTTACTTACTTACTTACTTACTTACTTACTTACTACTTACTTACTTACTTACTTACTTACTTACTTACTTACTTACTTACTTACTTACTTACTACTTACTTACTTACTTACTTACTGACTTACTTACTTACTTACTTACTTACTTACTTACTTACTTACTTACTTACTTACTTACTTACTTACTTACTTACTTCTTACTACTTACTTACTTACTTACTTACTTACTTACTTACTCGTACTTACGTACTTACTTACTTACTTACTTACTTACTTACTTACTTACTTACTACTTACTTACTTACTTACTACTTACTTACTTACTTACTTCTTACTTACTTACTTACTTACTTACTTACTTACTTACTTACTTACTTACTTACTTACTTACTTACTTACTTACTTACTTACTTACTTACTTACTTACTTACTTACTACTTACTTACTTACTTACTTACTTACTTACTTACTTACTTACTACTTACTTACTTACTTACTTACTTACTCAGTACACTTTTCCATTGATCCATTGATCTTTTCTGTTTACTTATTTATATCTTTTCCCTTTAAGGTCAAACGTTATTACAATATACGCCGAAAATATACCGAAATTACAAAGGACTTGACACCCCCAAAATTGAAGCATGTTTTGATGCAAATTTAGTAACCATATTACCTCAACGTGATCAAGATGGACGTCGTATAGTTGTAACAGTTTCAGCTGGCAGTAAGTGTTTTTATTAACACCACAAAAATTAAAAGAAGAAATAAAATTTCCTTCTCTTTCAGAACCCTGGAACTATAAAGTCATACCCCATGAAAATGTCTATGCTGCCAGTACTCTCTGCACCGAACTCATACAACTGGAACAGGAAACTCAAATAAATGGTGTAGTCTATATAGTAGATTTACACGATTTATCCATTAGTCAAGCTTACAGTTCAACACCTTATCGCATGAAACGTGTGCTCGACTATATACAAATAATATTCCACTCAGAGTCAAGGGTTTGCATGTTGTCAATCAACCGAAAATTTTTGAACCCATATTGGGCGACAATTAAAATATTTTCAATAAAAAATTTAAATGAACGTATAATATACATGGTACGAATTATGCTTCGTTACATCGTTATCTCTCGCCCGATTGCTTACCAGAATGTTATGGTGGTACGTTGAAGACGAAGTTAATGTATGGTCCAGAGACTTATGAGTTGCTATCACATTATCAGGAGTATTGGAAGGATTGGAGAAGTATGGTTTTAAAAAGGATTAGTAGTCAAAAGGTGATAAAGCATGGCGATTTGGAATATGATATTATGTCTTAATTAGTATCTGGACCAGTCAATAGCTTACTTTTTATTATAATTTAGATTTTTGTTTATTTCTGGTGGCTAAAAAGTTCGGAATATGGTATAACTATATAATAAAATGAATATAAAGTTGTAAAAATATATAATATAAACATAATAAATAATATCTGAAAAATCTGTAAAAAATAGAAGTAACTCCACTCTGTACAGTATTACTTAGAACCCAACTTTATTGTATCATTATATATATATAACTTCCTTAAAATCTATATCATCCCTCCCTACTACTCCAGTATTGCTAAAGACCTTTTAAAACCATACGTTTGTAAACTTTCAAAATATTTCTCATGGTTCGACACAACTCATAGGTTTCACGACCACACATCAATTCTGTCTTTATAAAACCGCCATAACATTCTGGCAAACATTCGGGTGATATACCGATGTAAAGACTCATAATTGGAACCATGTAAAACTATACGTTTGGCAAATTTTGTGGTAAAAAACGGTTTGGCAGCAGCATAAATCGGTTGAAAGATTTTCGGTTGATTGACTACATGAAAACCTTTGATCCTTAAAGGTATATTACTTTGTATATCCAGAAGACGTTTAGTCCTATAGGGTGTATAGTGTAAGGCACGACCCAATGTTAAACCCTGCATATCCATTATATAGACAATACCATTTATTTGAGTCTCCGGTTCCAATTGCAATAGCTCACTGCATAAAGTACTGGCGCTAAAGACATCATCTATGGAGATAAGTTTATGGTTCCATTGTTCTGTATTTGAAAAATATATTATAAAGTTAAACCGATTTAGAATAACGTGTCATAAACTTACTGCCACCTAGGGACACTACTATGCGACGACCCGTTGATCACGTTGAGGTAGTATGCAGACCAGATTAGCTTCAAATATAGCTTCAATTTACTGGGTATTAGGAAATTTGTTATTTCATTATATTTACTTTGTAGGTTATAGTAACGTCGAATCTGTAAATAATGATTTTAGAATATTTATAAGTAATCCGAAATCTTACCAAATCTCTAGCACTTTCTGCATAAAAATGACTAACTCTTAAAATTTCATTAACCATTCGTCATTAGTCTTGGGTATATTTAATTCAGATTCAGCTGGAAATATTTATATTATTACACTTGAACATAAAATTAGTATACAAATTTCTTCACCTTGTAATAATTTTTTCAATTCTTTAATCCCGTTTGTATATTTTCGGATGTTTCTCTAAGTTCCTGTAAAGCCTTGTTCTGAGCTCTCTCACTGGGTTTTGATACCTCTAATTTTAAAGTAAGATCCTCACTTTTTATTTCGTGAGACATTTTTTCATTTGTATTCTTTTAATAATTCTTGTTTTATATAGTCTGTTTTAGGCAAAGAACCCTAATTGAACTGATAGTTTTATAGTATTTGATTTCACTTTTATTTGCAGCAAATCCAAGGAAACATTTATAAATTATGCTAATCAGTTATGTGTAATAATAGGTAAAGAGAAAGCATTGAATTTTTGATATATTTTGCAAAGTAAGTGTTACAGTGTTTCCAAGAAAGACATAAGTGGTAAAGCTATGTATCACTGTTGTCAGATCTTACAATGTTGGCAGAAAAATGTTCAGAAAATGTCTAACAACTGCGGAATCATTGTCAGACAAATGTTTTCTATTGGCAACACGTTGCATCAAAAGAACATATGTTGCTAAAATAAGATCTGACAACTTTCGCCTTACAGCAATCTGACAACATCTGTGAACTGACAATTTTTGTTGACTGGCAATGTAGTTGAAAGGTTTCTTACAATCGTCTGAACTAACAATTTACCCATTGCTAAAAAATTTCATTGTCAATGTATTGCCAGATCTGCCAACGTTGTAAGATCTGACAACCGTGTGTACCTAGCCTTAACAGATT